AGGGAAATCTGGAAAATTTCCTAAGTGTAAAAGTGATGTTTTGGTCATTTTCAAAAGACCATTATCCCAGCTCAAAAAGATTTAGGGCGATTTATTCATATAGTTGGAAATCCCGTAAGATGATATTTCCAATGGCGCCGAGTTTGCGCATTTTGATGTCGTATTAGTGAGATATGCCTTTCAGAAGTTGGGTTGTTTGATCGAGGAGAATCCAATCCGGATTTTAGTATGGGTAAAGTAGTTTTTTCACCCTACTTTTTCCTAATTTGTTTTAAGGTTTTACTAGGGGAAAAGTTAAGCCTTAAGTCATTTTTTAGAATATTGAATACAATTAGCGATAGGAGAAAAGATGAAGATTTCACCAAGAACGTTGAGAGAGTTTCATCGGGGGTGATCCCTTTCAGGTATGTGAGATCTTTCTGTTGGGTTCATTCACCCACACACCAATATATTTTATTCAGTAAGTTTCATATAGATTGAATGATAAATCTTGAAGTTCTTGATGAACAAATTGTTAAATTCCTATTGGTTGGGTTGTAGAACACCTTTAGTGGTTTGATTCGTGTTTCTGGGCTGTTTTACGAGTCTACACTATTGGGTATTAAGTATATTAGTGATCCTAAGTGTTTCGGGGAAGATCCATGGAAGTTAGGGAGGCTTAGAGTTGAAAATCAAAGAAGTAAAGTCAGAAAAATCTGTCTGACAGACCCTGGGGCGCCGCGCCTACCAGAGCCCCTCAGAACAGACTTTGTTCGTCAGGCTCTTGCGTCCCGCGCTTCTCAGAGCGCCAGGTCACCTTGAGATCCCATTTCTCCCACATATTTTCATACTAGTTTCTAAGTAATGTGCCTATTATTACTAATTGATTCCTACACTCTAAAGTACATCTAAACATCATGAAATCATCCATAAACATCAGATCATGATCATTGAAGCCATAATACAATTCAAGGGAAGTTAAGATCAAAGTCAAAGAAGTTAAGAGGCAAGTCTAAAAGTTAAGAAGCAAGTCAAAGAAGGTTCCTAAAGCATTCAATAGTCTTAAAAAAACATTTTAACCTTGTTTTAAGGCTTAAGCAGTGAGTTAAACAAAAATTAAAGAGTTGAGTTAAATTCTCAAAAGCTATAAGGAAACTAAGTATTCCCTAAGAGTTAAGTTTCAATCTAAGCAAAGGGTATCAAGCTGAGTTCACTTCTGAAGAGCTATAAGAGAACTAAATAGTTCCTAAGAGTTTAAACAAAATGTTTTCAAACTTTTGAGAAAGAGAGGAAGCTAGACTTCCACAGAGTCTATGACTATCTTTACTAAAAGAAAAGGAAAATGATGATTTCCAAGAGAGTTTTGAAGCTAAGTTTGAGCAGTTATCACAAACTAGAGAAGAAGATGTTTAAAAACATATGAGCTAATTCTGGGAGTAGTATTGAGTACTGATATGGTGACGTGAATTCATATTAACTCAAGTCTCCGTAAACCATAGCCAGCATAGAGAGATAAAGGGTCATACTTTTTGGATGATTCCTTATTATTTTTTAGCAGACTAGTGGATTCACTAAGTAGTTCAGGTTTTATATCAACGACAAGGTATAGAGCGGTCCTCTTGCAATGTGAGGTAATACAGTGTACCATTATTTAGGCTCATATTGATGGTTGTCGGTTAGAGAATCTCGCACAAAAATTATATTACTTTCATATATAAGTAAAGTTTAGTTTATTATTGTTTTATCTTTAATGAACTAAGTGCTTACACTATTTTACAAGTTCCCTTTATATCGCATGTGTCCTTACTGCTTTATATTGAGTTGTTATATCATGAGCTGAGTAGAGACAACGTAAGTTCATTCTTACTTCTTTCAAGCTTTATAATTGTGTTTAGGATTTTCAACTCGCATACTAGTACATTCAATGTTATGATGCAAGTTGGCCTGCATCGTCTTATGATACAGACGCACTTAACCAGGATCAGCACGCAACACTTGATTTATCCAATTTGAGCTCCAGAGTCAAATATGAGACTCCTTGCATTTCGGAGGACATCTTTTACTATTTTTTTCTAGATTAATTTCAAAGAATGTTTTGGGGTCAGTACCAACATTCATTAAAGTAGTTTTAGAGGGTTAATAGACAAATATCTAGTAATTTAGTTATGTCTCTTTATTTCAGATTCTATATTTGAGACTTAAGTGTCATTTTGGCAAAGACAATATCTAAAGTTATTTTATGAGAACTTTTTCCCAATTCTATAACTGAATTAAGTTGAGTCTTCTGCTGAGATAAGTAAGACATGCCAAGGGTTCACTCAAGATCATCAATGGTCATTTTATTCTGCCACGTCCAGAGTGTAGACTCGGGGCGTGACACTTTCTACATTCAAAACCTCAACTAATTGTTGTATTTTAATTTTTTTTTATCAATGAGAAGCCATGCCACCTATATTTTGCAATATAGTCAAAGCCATTTTCGGTTACTGCAATAAGCATATCCATGATAAATCACTTTTCTTTTGCCTATGTAAATAGCATGTACATATCTATGTTATAAAACTGGACTCCATCACCTAATATATAATTTTGGGTGTGTCACCGTTGTTATTTACTTAAATGAAACGTTCATATATGTGTCTCACTTGAAATATGTTGTTCAACATGGTTATCCACTTCTAGTCAAATCTAGTATATTAGAAGAAGCAGTTTCAACATGCCTGCTCTGGCTCTTTGGAGGGTGTTTCAATAATTCACGTAGAATTGAAAGAATGTTTTTTGGCTAAAAACTTATCTCACTGTAGCAGCAATATACATATATATATATATATATATATATATTAGATAAACTTGACCTTATTCTCCTTTACTTAGCTCAATCAGACATCACCAGATTCTTACTTAGCATTTCACAGATATTCTCATTGAAATAACCACGTGGACTTCATCCTTGTTCTTCTTCTAATGGTTTCTTTGTTAATTACTAAGCAAAAATTTTAGTAATTTATTATAGAGTATTTCATATGTCCCCTTGCATAAAAAATAGAAAATAATAATTAAATTTTATGATTTAAATAAAATTATATATAAAATGTATCAAAATATTATTTCATTTTGTAAGTAGGTCAAAATGTATGCTTTGACATGTAGTGTCATTTCACTTTGTGATTTATTCGTATTAATTTATTGTCTTATTTTTTGAGTTTTTGTATATTTAAAAACTACGTAAAATTATTGTAAATTACAATAATTAAAAATACAAAAAAATTATTTGACTTTTACAATTCTATCAGTGCCACATTAATTGAAACAAGTAATATAATATGTATTATTTGAAAATGGTTTAAAAAGTACTATAAATCTCATAACTAATATCTTGAAATATTTTGAAATATCATTAAAAAGTAATTTTTCTAACTCTTGAAATTGTATTTGTGCCACATAAATTGAGACAAAAAAAATATATTATTTGAAAATTACGTAAGAGATACTATAAATGATAATTAGCCACTTCAAGTATTCATAAAAGGAATATTTGGCTTTCAAATTCTTTTAGTTTCACATAAATTGGAAAAGAAGAAGATAATATAGTAGTATTTAAAAATCACATAAACAATACTGTAAGTCACAATAATGAACAAACTTGAGATATTTAGAAGATGTATAAAATATTAGGTTGACTTTGAAAATTATGTCAATGTTGCACAAAGTTAAATAGAGAAAATAACAAATACTATTTAAAAACGACATTAACATTAATATATATTGCATTAACTAATAAATTTAAATATTTGAAAATTAAAACGACTTTCCAAATGTCATTTATAATCACATAAATTAATAGAGAATGAGTAATATATATTAGGCACGGGCTCCAATGTCTACTATATAAATAAGAATAAGAATGGTTTCTCCATTTCTTTCTTCCCTTTCCATATTAGGGGTCACATGCTTCCAACTTATGACTTCATCCTTCTTAATGTCTCAAACTACAAATTAATGGTGACGGCTGTATAAAGTACGACCCAAGTTCTTGTCTACATTTACTCGCGCAAGTCGATTATTATTCGATAGTGTTTACCTATTATTCGAGTCAAATTAAAACATGAATATTATAAGCACAAAAAAAACATAATCTAAAAGACTTACATAAATGTTTAAATATGGAATAGTGTCATGAATATGATTATTAATTATTTTGTAGGTCATGATGACAAAAAATTGTGAGTTAATTAAAAAAATTGTGTGGGTAATAATATCAAGGTCATTATTTTACGTTAAAGATTTGACTTTTTTAGTTTTTAACAATGCATATTTATATAATTAAGAGAGTTACCAGAGTAAAAATATTTTTAATGTAGCATGAGAAAAAATAAAAATGAAATTCAGAATATTAAACTTTCAATTGGGAAAATTGTGAGAAATTGAAAAGTGTAAAATTATTAAGAAAAATATGCATAAGCATTTAAAGAAAATAAAATATAAATGTTCTAAAAACAAATGGCAAAATAACATCAATTGAAACCAACCTATTGTATAAAAGTTGTAAGACGGTCAACAAAAAACACTACTTATAGAAGATGTCGAGTCATGATACCAAACTAAAAAGCCTTTTAAGTTGTATAATAATTGCACCAATCAACACGAATAAAATTTTAAACACAAGATACACTATATTTAGGAACCTTCAAAGAGTACCCTGAAATTAAAGATTCATAGATAGCATCATATACTTTATTAATCCAAATATCTTATTGTATAATAGATTGAGCATCATTAATTATCACATTTAACACTAAAACAATCATTATATTTGTATTTAAAAAAAGAAAATTATCAATAGAAAGTGAAAGGAATAAGATAAGTTGAAAAAATGAAGCATTGTGATACGAAGAGGATTGATTATCTTTGAAGTAGGATGACAGATGTCACAATCCAAAAACTAGTCGTGATGACATCCGTCTTATCTCACAAACAAAGGTTAGCCAAAGCCCAACGAAATAAGGAAATGTGGAAGTAAATCAGAATAAAAAACTAACATATTTTCAACAACATGAATAATATAATATAGCTCAAATATAACCTCAAAGTCTAATTGTTATGTGTACAAACCTCTAAGTATTACATTAGATTAAAAGAAGTACAAGTCTGAATGTCTTTTTCTAGAACAGAATAAGAACATAACAAAAGAGTAAAAGGTATCTACTGAGATGATAAGCAGATACCTCACAACTCTTCGCAGTAAGTCTCAGACGCAAAACAGAAGAAAGAGTGATTACAATGATCTAGGCTCATAACCTACACAAGTGTAGAAGCAAACGAGTGAGTACCAAATAAGACAATTCTCATCAACCAGCAAAAAAATTACGGTAAGTAAAGCAATATATGTCACCCCTTTTTCGCGCAACGGGTTTTTCCAATTTAAGTGACGTTATTGAATTAGGGATTATTTTATTTTTGAGAGTCTCCACTTGCAATTGAGTTATTGTGTTCCGAGTCACATTTTCTTTTAATCCCTAACCAAAAGGAAATGACTCTATATTTGGGTCTGCGAACCAGAAATTCAGGTAAGAAATTCTATTGACCGAGGGAAGATATTAGGCATCCCTCGAGTCCCGTGATTTTAGCATGGTCGCTTTTATTGACTAAAACTCATTTTTACTATTTTTGGATATTTGTGTCTATATGCCATGATTTACTTATTTTTTGACGGTTGAACTTTTATTAGTCTTAACCCAGATGCATAACTGCATTCTCAATCTTAACATTTGGAGACATAATTGTCTTTCCTCTCGAGTTCATCACACCAAATAATCTCAATTTAAACCTCTCGGTTTGAATTAACAAACAAGTAATTATTAAAATAATTTAGACAAGGTGTGTCACTGCATCCTTGAGTTTTTTTTAAGTGTTTGAAAGAAAGGCGTTTATCCAGATTCTTAATTGAAACTAATTTAAACATGCCTAATACCCATCAAATAGTACAAAAATATTAAATAAAATTAAAAAAATAAATTTAAACTTCTAGGATACAATATAAAATTATGGGTTATTTATATTATTTTATTTTTATTTACTCTTAAAGTTAATGTTACTATTAGGCCTACACATACTATTTTTATTTTTTTTTATCTTTAAGTTGGTGAAAAAATTATGCTTACACATATTATAACTCTTATTAAACCAAACAAAACACTGATGAATTGCTAAAAAATAATCTCATCCTTTATTCGATAAATAAAACAACAATAATTTTTTAGCCGAATAAATTCTACTTTATCATTATTGGTTTGTAAGTTAAGACAAAACACTACCACGACCTGTTTAAGAAATAACAGCTAACGACTAAAAATTAATAAACAAAAATAAACACTAATTAAAACTATTATCATGCATTAAATAAATATATAACACTCAACACAACAATTCAATTGAATTATGAATGAAGTAAAATGTAAGAGAACTCCTCACAGAAGTACATCAAATTTCACAAATACATTAAAGATTTAAGGCAAAGTTATACCTCAAAATAAAGAAAATAAGTACCGCAAAATCTTAATCGAAGCTCAATTAGAACACCCACAAATCTTTTGTAGATTGTATGTAATGATATATGTGTTCTATTTATAGGAAAGTAGTAATGAAGAAGGAAGAAAAATACCAAAGTGTTGCTTAATTATGATAGGAAGAATATAGAAAAATGAGGTGACTTTTTTTCTCTTTTCTGTGAGTGTGTTGTTGTGTCTCTTTATGTTTTCTTTTCTTCTTCTTTTTTGTGTTTTTGTCTTTTTTTCTTATGTTGTACGTGTGTGGATGTATATTTTTTGTTGATTTTCCTTTGTTGTGTAATAATAGTATGTATATAGGTGTGTGGGGAGTGTTACTGCTTGTTTTTCGTGGGAGGGCGCGTTTGTAGTGTAAGACTGGTGAGTGGGGTAATGGGAGAAAATGATGGGTCAAAATGGGTTAGATTTAGTTTTTATTTTCTAATTTATTTTTAATTTTGTAAAATATAATAATCATAATAATAATCGTAACGTTTACTAATTATTTTGAACTAATAAAATATAAGAAAAGTCAAATAGCTAGTTTAAAAATATAATTAGAAAATACTAGCTTATTTCTGAAAAATTAAACTAAAAGAAAACATATATCTTTTTGTAGTTTTCCAATCTTTTAAACTAAGCTTACTTAAAATACGATGAAAAAATAAAATATTTAATTTATAAATAAAAGCAATATTTATGTACTAAAAAAGGTGTAATACCTTAAGTTCGGTAAAAAATTACGTTTCTACAGATTATCTTTGACTGGAAATACGAATAATTTTTAAACAAAGAAGTAGATAATGTGATAAAGTTTGACCGACTTGTATTTGAAGGAAAAAATATGCGATTGAGTCCTTCGTTTGGACATCCAACATATCCCGGGTTATAAGTGAATCAGGTCATGTGTAGTTCAAAGAGACGAGGAGATGAGTTGGAAGTTAAGTAAGGTTCCATCGAGGATCCAAGTCGCGACTCTTATCCTTACTAAAAAAATAAAAGCTAATAGTCAAAAGGAAAATAAAAGTACAAACTCTTATCTATGCAACATCTCTTGAGTCTTCACTTGAGTCTTGACTTTCTAATATCACCTTGATTTTTGGGGGAATATCTTGATCTTGAATAAACTCGAGGCTTAACCTTCCACTTAAAATGACAATTTGAAATGCTCTTGAATGACTGCATGTTTTCTTGATTACAAGCTGAATGAAAATAGATGTCAGGAAATAAGGTTGGTACATGCATTGAAGAAATCAATTTAAGCTATCATAGGGATTGATCATTCTGAAAAAAGTTGAAACTTTGTTCTTGAATTTCAAATCCATGTCCGCTTGAAGAAACCTAAAAACCATTACAAACAAAAGAAATAAACAAAAAAAATTCCCTAGTTTTAACTCGAATTTTTTTTTGTGAGTTATTAGAAAATGTAAAAAAAATAAGTAGATAAATAAATAATCTCAGACTAGGAAGTGTTTATGTTAAGAGAAATTAACCCAGTCCCATCATGTAGGAGGGTCCTATTAAACTAAATCACATTATGTAGGAGGGTCCTGCTAATCTAAATCCCATTATGTAGGACGATCCTGCTAATCTTATTATGCAGGAGGAACCTGCTAATCCTATTATGTAGGAGGGTCATACTAAGTCCCATTATGTAGAAAGGTCATACTAATCTCATTATGTAGGAGGGTACTGCTAATTTAAATCTCATAATGTAAGAGGGTCCTGCTCATCTAAAATTTTATGGAAGACTCAAAATAGTTCTATTCTCAAAACGACCAGCGGGTCGTTACATCACCTACAAGTTAAACAAACGTTCGTTCTCGAACAGATAAAGAAAAGAACTCAGCTAAACGCTTAAAAAGCCGAGGATATTTACTCCTCATGTCTGACTCTTTCTTCCATATAGCTTCCTCCGTGGTACGATTCTTCCATTGAACCTTTACTGAAGCAAGCTCTTTTGACCTCAACTTTCAAACATGCCTATCCAAAATGGTAACCGGCTCCTCCTAAAAAGTCAAATTCTAATCAAGTAACACTGAATCCCATTGAATCACATGAGCACCTACCTGATGATACTTCTTTAGCATTGAATATGAAATACAGGATGGATTCTTGAAAAGGCAAAGACAACTGTTACGCCACCTCTCCAATACACTCCACAATCTTAAAAGGACCAACATACCTTGGGATCAACTTGCCCTTCTTTCCAAATCTCATCACACCCTTCATGGGTGAAACCTTCAATAGAACCCTCTCTCCAACCATAAACTCCAAATCCACGAACCTTCCTATCTGCATAAATCTTTTGCCTACTATGATCCATGAGAAGTGTATCTTGGATCAACTTGACCTTGTCCAAGGACTCCCTCAAAAAATCGGTACCCCATGGTCTAACCTCAAATGCATCAAACCAACCAATTGAAGATCGACATCTCCTACCATACAGAGCCTCAAATGGTGCCATCTCAATGCTCGAATGATAATTATTATTGTAAGCAAACTCCACTAATGGCAAAAACTAATCCAACTGACCACCAAAGTCAATCACACATTCCCGTAACATGTCCTCAAGAACCTTAATAGTCTGCTCAGACTCACCATCAGTCCGAGGGTGAAAGGCTGTACTAAAATCCACTTGAGTGCCCAACTGCTTCTGCATAGGTCGCCAGAAATGAGATGTAAATTGGGTGCCATGATCTGAAATAATAGTTATAGGAACCCCATGAAAACAAACTATCTCTCGAATATAGATCTTGGCTAACTTTTCTGAGTTATAGGTAGTCTGAACTGGTACAAAGTGTGCAGACTTAGTCAGTCGATCCACGATGACCCATATAACATCAAACTTACCCAAGGTACATGGAAACCTACTAAAAAGTCCATAGCGTCACAACTGGAATCTAGACCCCAGACGAGACCGGCGTCGTTGACCACTCAGAGGTCACAGACAAAACTACATACTTCATTCTTATTTTGTCTAGGTTAATTTTAGCGGAAAATTTGAACTTTTTGTCTTCTTACTTCATGCTAAACATTTTAAACATAACATTATAGGCGTTCACAAATCAACCATCTAATATAGAGATAATCAAATGAAAGAAATAGTTCATGATTGCCTTGAACGTATTTTTGCCAAAACGGCACCAATTCAAAGTATGAAATGAAAGTTGAAAGAAACACTAGTGGAACATGCTCCACTATTTAAAGCCTACATCTAATCTAGATAATAATGGTAGACATCCTCGAAAGCATGAGGGCCTACCAAGTCCGGATGAATGCTCCACGTCCGGATAGCTCCAACGTCAACTTGAAAGCTGTAGCATCCATTTGTGCCTGCACCTAAAAATATAGAGTTTCATGGGATTAATACACATTTGTACTAACTATGGATATATGCAAGCACACACTAAGGACATGCATTAGAAGGATAGCTCTTTCTTAACAACATGATTTATGGAAAGTCAAATCAGTGGACTTGCCAAATTTGGCTTAGGAAAGTCAATGGACCTGCCAAATTTGGATTTGAAAAGTCATGCCATGAGTGTAACATGCATCATCAAACTTATCATTTTGAAAACAACACATAACATATATCACATATCATATCATGTAGTTCATATCATTTTTTATATGCCATGAGACCTTGGGATCATGGACTTGACGTTAGGACTTCCCAAAATAAGGGCTCAACATATGGGACTTCAACTAGGGAGACTTCTTTAGCAAACACAAAGTCTGTTTCATTCATCCATACATATTTCATTTCATTTCGTTCATAGGCTAGTGTGAACACCAGCTATACCTAGGATGTATTTTAAGACTTTCATCGGGTTTGTTGTGCAATGATCAAGAATAACCTAGTGTAATTACTTGAATGTAGATCACTTCTTGATTATCCTATCCTAAAACCTTTGGTATCGTTCATTACATTATGTGCATTATTTGAGGTTGGCCGCATTCATTCTTTGGGAACTTTAACTTTAATCGACATAGATCATGTGAGCATCATGAAATCCAATGTCTCCCCCACACCGAAAAAAGGTTGACTCACCGACCAAAGTGATCCAAAAAAAGCTAGCATACATGGGAATTTAACCCCGCCAGATCCCTATATTGGCAGTATAGGTTCAAAGACTAGGAGAGATAAGGAGACCCATACCCGGCATGCCGGAAAGTCTCATCTCATGAGATTTACGTGAACCTTCGCCCTTCCCTAAAGAAGGCATCAGCGCTCATAGCTAGTCTATCGGTGATCAATATAAAGTTCTATTACATTAAACTCATACGTCATGGAAGCTGGATTCTAGTATGAGGACATCATACTCAATAGATGATTTCTCATCTCATCATTAGTATTAAGTGTGTTGATCTCAATACTTTCATTAAAGTGTTCATAGAGACTGGTCTCTTCATTAACTTTACACTCTCATAGTTGAGTACACTTTGGTAACATTTACTTAGGCTCATTTGAGATTGATCTCATCTTTTATATTAGCCTCATATCATGTTGTCACCATATTAATTAACATTCACATATTTGTTCTTCATAATTACTCACCCCTTTTTATGTGAATGTTTATTTCATCATATGCCAATGCACTTGACCATTTATTGTGTTTCACACTCTTACTTAACCCTTGTAGGGTTTCATCACTTCATTGTTCATTTCATCATTTCATCATTTCATTTTTCATTTCGTCATATTCCAATGCAGATGGACATTTAGTGTATCTTACACTCGTACTTAACCCTTCTAGGTTTTCATCATTTCATAACATACATCTTAGGTTCACTTATTTTTAACCGTATGCTAGACTTATGGGTCGATACATACAAACCATGAGGCTTCATTCATAGTTTGTCAAGTGACTCATATCTTCCTAAGATTATGTAGTACAAGACTTATGTATCTTGTATGTATGCCAAGATCTCGATTTTGATCTAAGTAGGTGGCATTATTCTTAAACATTTAATTCACGTATGATTTATGTATCAATATGGAAATTAGGGCAAGCGAACCAAAGTTTGAACCCCTTGGACAATATTTACATTTTTCCTTGACTTTATTTTTAGTCCCCATGACATTGGGACCCTAGATCGAGCCCTAACATCACCATTCTATCTTTATTTTTCTCCTTGGATTCTCCTCTTATTTGGCCAAAGGGTTGTGGGATCGAACCCCCATAATCACTTTTTATTTTCATTTAAAATTGTGTTGTCCAACTCGCCTAGACCAAGAGGTTGTGGGATCAAACCCCCATAGCCTTTTTTTATTTTACTCTTTATTTCGCTGGGAATTGGGAGGTTGTGGGTTCGAACCCCCACAGCCTCCTTAGTTTTTTTTATTTAAAATTTTCCTTAGCTATGCATAGGCAGTGAGGTTGTGGTTTATTTTCCTATTTAGTTCGCACATTCTCCCTTCCAACCTTGAGGTCGTGGGTTCGATCCGCACGCCTCACACTTTATGTCTTTTACTTTTCTTTCACTTCTTTCGCTGCATGGAGGTCG